TTTGAATATTTTGCACCTATGAAAATTTCGATCATGTCTCAGTGTCTTACATTCCATATTGAAGCTTTCTGGAGTGACCTTAACCTATTCTCTCCTGGATGGTTCCATCTTGCTTCCTCAGGGAGTTCTCTGGGCTTGAACTTGACCTGTCCAAGACTAAAAATGCACAATGTTTGATTTCCTTTTTACCACTAAGTGGAAGTATAGCTGCTTTTTAATAAACATTTTAAAATTTAAAAAATAAAGATTTTTTTTTGGACCTTCAAAACAAATCCACAATGGGCCAGCTTCATGGGGCATTGTTACAAGATCTTCAGTGACTAAGGTTAAATTTTCAGTAATCATTAAGATAACAAGTCACTTGAATCTTTATCTCAAATTCATAAGAAATCCTTCGTTCAGATAGCTAAATCATTTTGTCGTGTACTTTGCCCTGTGATTGATTCATCTTACTGCTGCATTTTTATGAAGTTGACTTTTCTCCAACAGGTTTTCTGAAATAATTCTTTGATCAAAATACGAAATAACACCTGGGTAGAAGCAGTTTCTCCTGAGAGTGGTTAAGGGGCTACAGAGAATCAGCCCACTGGCACTAGAACTGGCTCCAAGTTCTACCAACTGAGCAACCATGCAGGCACTTGTGTTGGATTGTTGGCCTGATGTTGCCAATTTGAAATTCTTAATCACTTTTCTTAATTTTTTTATTTTTTTGGTGGTACCAAGGATCGGACTTGGGACCTTGTGCTTGCCAGGCAAACACTTATTCCACTGAGCTGTCTCCCCAGCCCAATAGTTTGATCTTTGATGTTATATCTTGTAAAGGCTCTTAACTGAGACAGTGGAGTCTGAGCATAAGCAGAGGTCACATTTGCCATGTGCATGATTGCTGTGGCTTGCTACTACCCCATTCACACAGTGTTCCCCATGCCCCCAAAGCACAGCTTTCTAGAGCAAGCATGCTGCATAGGAGTTCATGAGACACAAAGCAAGGGGAAGATGAAGATGTTATGTCCACAGCTAGATAAGTAAGGGGAGAGAAGTTAGTCTGACAACCCCAACGGGCTGCATTTTCCTTTTGAATAAGAACTTGCTTTGGATGTAAATAGAAAGCAGTGCAGTTCTGTGGAACAGGAACAAGCGAAGGTCTCTGTCACACCTTTCCTTACTTATGGTACTTCCCTGTATTCATGCACACATATGCTACCACTATATCCTGAAGGAAAAAGAACAACCAATTGGGTGATCCACAGTTAAGTTTTAGCTCTTTCTGAGCCACCAGTAAGGCACAGATAATGTTGGTAGAATCTATATATATTAAGAAGGTGAGTTAAAACAGTTGGGTTCAAACCTCTCAACATTTGTACCCTTCTATTGAGAACAAAATACATATGCATGAGTACAAAATAAAAATCATGTGATTATTATGAAATGATGAGTTATGAAATTTATGTAAAGAATTCAAAATTTGGTTTTTCTTTTCTTTTCTTTTTTTCTTTCTTTCTTTTTTTTTTTTGCAGAACCAGGGATTGAACTCAGGGCCCTTGTGCTTGCCAGGCAAGCACTTATTCTACTGAGCCAAGTCCCCGGCCCTTGGTTTTTCTTTATCTGAAACATTATAATAACAAAAAACCTCCCTGACAAATCAAGAAAAAAAAAAAAACTGAACAAGGAGAAAACAATCCTTGTATTTTTGTACCTTTAATAACATGCTATATTCTGATTTTTAAATAAGAGATTCAGCTTTTACATTTTGTTCTTGGTCCGAAAGATTGCCTAGCTTATCCGGCTTGCTCTCGAGATGCCTACTCCTTGGCCTTGCCAAGGCATTACAAAAGATGTCTGAGAAGAATGGAGGGTGGGAGAGGTATTGCAGGATTCTCCAAAGCCCACAGACCTACAGACTCACCTCTTTTTTCAATAATGGTCTTTCCTGCCTTATTTTACTATCATTTTAATAATAGAAGTGTCTATCATTTTTCCACTCGGAGAAAGACTCCAATGTTCCTACTTAGTTCTGCTCTTTTGTTAAACTCTTTGTAAATGCAAGTAATCTTTGCTATCATTACTTCTCCTAGAGTAAATTCAAGAGCTTGCATTCAACCATGTGTCTGTAAAATCACTTCCTCTTCCATTGTTTGGTTTTTAATCTCTTACTTTGAGGTCACTGACAATATTTTGCCCCTGCAGTGCACAGGTTGATCTTCCTCTGCCTTTTTTCTCATGTCTTGATTTCTTTCTCATTTATTCTTAGTCATGCAGAACTGGGCTTTTATAGACATCCAGTTAGTTCAAGCTAAGGAGGAAGGATCTAAGTCTTTATAATTTTCCTAAAAGGGCATAAACAACAAGCCAAGATCTCAATATTATTTTATCTCTACTTTTAACTCTTGGACATTGATTACCATTAAGTAAAGTCAATCATTGCAAAGCCTCAACTGCCTTTTCAGATTTTTAATCCCTTCTCTCACACTATCATAATGTTAGATTCTTAGTATCAGAAAGGGATAAGACCTAAATCTAATTTATCTTACCTATATCCTAAATGACCTTTACAATTGCAGGACTGCCTTATGCCTGGGACCTGTGTATATGCCTTGCCCCATTTTGGCTTCACTCTGTGCTTTTCAGCAATACCAAGCTGGCTATAGCTCTTTAAATATGTCTTTGTGTTTCAAGCCCTTTACTTTTTCTCATGTTACATCCTCCATACAGAATCTCCTTTCTTATCTGCTCTTCTCGGATAATTGCTTTTCCAGTTCTAGGTATCAGCTCAGGTATTACCTCCTGTGGAAACCTTTCCTGTTGCCTCATGAGACACAAGACAAGTTAAAGTCCATACAGTTAGGGTGGATGCCACCCCGAGTACCTTTCTGCCTCAGCATCTAGTTCATTACGCTGGAATTACCTGCTCCTGTGACTGCCTTCAGACCACACTGCTGTGATGTACTTGAGGGCTGGAATGTATCTGTTTATCTGCTGCAAGTTATACGAATCTGTCCACATAGCAGGTAGTCAGCACCTAACTAGTTCTTTTTTCTCTCTGTCTCTCTCACTCCCTCTGACTTTCTCTCTCCCTCTCTCCCTCTTTTCTTCCCTCCATCTCTCTCTCTGTCTCTTTGATGAATTAAAATTAACTGAATAACATGTGTTCTAATATAATTTGTTATCTCCCTTCTGGACACTCTTTATGTGGTCTTCTCTCCCAGAAAGAAACACACACACACACACACACACACACACACACACACACACGCTCATTACAATGCAAATATGTAGGTGCACACACACATGCTGTAATACAAATATATAGGTGCATACATGCATGCTACAATGCAAATATATTTATGTATACACATAGTTTATAATCACAGACAAGGGACAAGATACTCAAGCCAGAGGTAGGGGCAAGATCATCAGGAAGTTTTGTCATTACTTAAGTTTAGGAAATCTTTTTTTTTTTAGTTTTCAGAAGGCTTAGCAAAATTCCTAGTAATTCAAGAATTCTGTTATTGGCTTATGTAAAAATTAGCCACTCAAAGGGCATGTTTGGGTTCTTTTCATGGATGTTAGCTAGAATTCTGATTCTTGGTACTTCTGCGTTTTCATCAATGTCCTACATCAGTTACAAAAATGACGTCTGTACCTTTAGACTATAGCAAGTACCTTGGATTCCAAGAAGTGTCCTCCAGGTTTTTCAAGTTTGTCAGTATCAAGTCTCCTTGTACATCAGCCACGTTTGCCTTGTTGCAGACATATAGATACATGCAGGACTTCAGCCCAGTGGAGATGACTTAGGCTGACATTTGTGGTCAGCTTAGGCACTGGGCACTTGTCCACATGCCTACGGGACCCACAATGAAGACTATGTGCTGATCCAGAGACTCGGCCCATGGCTTTTCCTCTGTGTTATACTGCTAGATCTTTTTAAGGTTCAGGAATCTCTAGCTGTGTTGTTTCTCTACGACTCCTTCTATTGCTCAAAATAGCCAATGCCTACCTAATTTGGGAGACACTGAGAAAGTGAAAAGTGCCATGGAAATGAAAAATTAGTATTCATCTTCTATCCATCTTGAGAATTATTTGTCTCCCTTTATATTCTAAGAATGGGCGGCTCAGATGATTTGGAGCAAAGAAGGAAGGACTACGACTGATAGTGAAAAGTATTTAGTTGATGTGAAGATAAACTAAATAGCGTTTACTTATTTCTCCACGTGTTTATTGGGATGAATTCTTAGAGAGAATCTTTTTGGATCTAGAATGGTATTCCCATGAAAGAAAATGAAGTGTGAAATTACAAAATCAGGCCAATAGAAGGATGAGACTATTCACTCATAATTGACCCGGTGAATTGCTTCTTTAACCCTTCTTTCTGTTCTTTAAGAGCCAGAATTATACCACAGTGGACGATGGTGGTTCCACTGGGCCGGTTCTACTGGGCTGATGCTGATAGCTGCATTCAGCCCCACTCTTTATGGCCTGTGGGTTGTGTCCCATGTATCAATCAGAGCAACAAATGACTTCCTGCTCCTGAGGCCACCAAACAAGGACATGCTCACCAGAAGTCATTAGGGTGGCTTTGTGTTCTTCTACCCCATCCGTGAGCCAGGATGGTGGAGGCTTTGATTATTTCATTTTATTTTTAATGCTTCTGGACTCCAGACTCACTGGAGACATCCTGACACATAAGGCTTTTGTCCAGCACAATGTGATGCCCTTTACCTAGTAAAAGGCTGAGTCCATAAAGGTGCTGCCTTCCTCCTGAACAAACAACGGAAATGCATCAGGAGAGCTCAGCCACAGACAGAATGCACATCATGAAGCAGGAGCCACCCTGGGATTCCTCAGATGAAAGCCGATTTCAATGAACATTGTGTTTCAAAGCCTGCTTCCTCTGGCCCTGTAAGGACTGCAGGAGGAACATCCCACTTGCGTCTGCTGACACAAAAGAATGCTGTGGCTGGGAGATCTTATCGCGCCTTCCTGTGCCACCGCAACAGAGCTCCGGTTGTGTCTCCTAAGAATCGCTCATTGTTTCATGGGGACAACTGGCTCCTTTGGGTGGGATCTGATGGCATCTCACGGAGCTGGAGGTAGGTGGTGCTGGGAGGTCAGCCAGCCACGTGACCCGGCTGGCTGCTTCAGGGAAGTCGATAGAGGAGCGTACTTCATCGGAGTTTCCGGGTGGCCAATGGCTAAGCTTGTAAAGTTTAAATTTATTTATGTTTATTAAAATATGCTCATACTGTTCATTTAATAATGTTTTCAGCTGTATAAGTTAAGAAGAGAAAATAGAAGCGACATCCAAGTTTTCTTTCTTGAAAAAGCTGTTTCTTTTCTCCTTTTAACTTACTGACTGAATCTGATAAAAATGAGCATAATCAAGAACTGTTTTGAAAGCAGAAATTTAATAATTTAAAACTCCCCTGGAGAATTTCGATGCCAATATGTGGACACTTAGCATTTGTTATATAAACTTCAAAAGTGTACTCTCGTTTCATGAGGATGAACTTCAAGATTTAGTCATCATATTCATATTTAAAAGCATAAGCTGATAACACTGGATTAGTTAAAATTGGTCAATTCTAGATAAGGTCTCCTTTGCTTAGAAAATCCATGGCTTTGTTCAATAAAGGGAATGGTGATTATTACACACTCAGGGACATGGGGGAGTGCAGTTTGGATTTTCTTCTCCTTTCAAAGCTTAACAATTAGTACCTAGTGTTAGGAATTATAATGTACAGGAAGACATGTCAAGGAGCAAGTAAGGGTAACCATGAGTCTAAATCGTAAGTGTAACATTCTTAATCCTTCCTTCCTATGTCTTCAGATGCAACTTTCCAAAATGCTCTTTGCCCTAAAAATATTTATATTCAATTATTCAGCAAAAATAATCATCCTCCTTTGATTTTGATGAAGATTTTAAGAACCAAGGTATTACCAAAACAGCATCTCCTTTCTGAACAGACTTACTAAATATTTCATACGTTGTGATTATTTATGAATACATGTGTTTTCCCTTATAACTGTGAGTTGTATTCATCTTTGTTTTTGCAATGTCAAACAAAATGTCTTGTTTATATTGGTACCAATTGGATGGATGGAGGGTTGGATGCATGGATACAGCTATGTAGCAGTGTCTATCGCAGTTACTAATGGGGATTTGATTCAGGTTATCTAAATAGTTCTTGGAAGGACCGCAAGTGTTAATAATCTGGGCCATTAGTAGATGTATAGAATGTTGAAATTTTCAAGATCTATAGCCCACACAATTTAGTTTACAGTTGTGAGATTCAGAAAGAGAAAATCTGACTATACACACTCATGTATCTAATTAGTAAGTGACAACTCTGGGTTAAAATCCAGATCTCTTGATTTTCCAGTCAAATGTTCAGTGCATTGTACCACATTTGGAAACTGAAGGCACCCCAAGGAGCAATCTGTTAGCCCTGGCTCACCTGGGGGTGTGAAGGCAACCTGGGACAAAACAAAACTAGTGAGAGGAGTGAATCAGGGCTGCGGAATTCACATGTTGGTCGTGCTGAAGAAGTGTAAGAACAAGAATGCCTCGTTTTTATTCAGGGTGATTGTATTGCGTGTCTCTCTTAGGAGGTGCTGTGCTCAAGACTCCCATCTCTTCTCTACGTCCCAGGAAAACTTGTGGAGGCAGCACTGTCCATCTTTACCCCGCTGACTCAGATTTCTTTTTGATGTTGAGTCCAGCCTTTGGGAGCCCTTTCCAAAGAAACTTTCTCCTGTCACTTACTAGTGGGACTGATGCAATGATACTGTCTCTAGGTCTTCGTGCTGTGAGAAAGTACTCATGACATATCTCTTCTGATTGTCTGGATTTCTGTTTCTCTAAATTATATTCCATCATAGCATATTCAAATGTTTGTGATTGGCCTATAATCAGAGTGTTGTTCATTTAATATTTTAACTTTTTCAAGTAAATTATTTTAGAATGAACAGATAACAACATACAACATGGGAGAATCTCAAAATAATTACACTGAGTGAAAGAAGCTATACAAAAGAGTATATCCTTTGCAATTCTAGTATGCAAAACTTTGAGTATGCAAACCACTCCAAGAAAGAAAGAAAACACATTCATACTTGCCTGGGGACCTGGGGAGGAAGGCAGAGAGAACAGAAAGAGAATCGTGTAAACTTCTGGGGATCATGCATATGCTCGCTGTCTTAATTATAGTGGTGGTTTTATGGTTATATGATATATTCAAACTTACCAAATTGTGCATCTTAACTGTGTGTGTTTTATTATATGTGAATGTTTATAGTGTGTTAATTAAACCTCAAGAAATTGTTTACTAAAGAAGAATGTAACCTTTAAAAACTCAACTAAAATATTGTATTAATCAAAGTTTAGTAAGAAAAGCAGAAATGCTAGCGTACGTGCATGCGTGTGTGTGTGTGTGTGTGTGTGTGTGTGTGTGCTAGAGACACAGGGATTGGCTTTATATTATGGTGAAGTTTGGTGGTATCATCTCTGTAAGGCTGTTGTTTTGAAATTTGAAATCTAAGGACAGCTTGTCAAGAAAGGAATATTGCTATAAAATGGGGACCAGCCAGAACAGGTTGGAGCCCCAGGCTCTGCTGGAGCTCATGAGAGCAGTCCAAAATACTTCATACCTTTGAGCTTGTGTGACAGAGGTCCTGCAGACAGCACCCTCCGCAGAGAGATCCTGTGCATCCTGCCCTGGGCCATCTCCACGAAGGTGAATGGCTCCAGGCTCAGCTCCTGCTTCCAGCAAGAGCTGAGGGAGCAGAGGCAACACGTGTAAGTTACCAAGCGGCCACGACTGCGCTTCTGCCTCCAAATTGTGCCCGCTTACTCATGCCCCACCCTGCCCAGAAATGTACGGAAAAGGAATTCTGGGAAATGGAATTTGACTCTACAAAATCCACATTTAACAATTTGACACTCCTACCTCTTCAAATGAAATAGCACAGTCATGCCTCTATTCTAACTTAATATATCTATTGCAAGTACAGTCAAAACCACTAACTTTTTCCCTAGAAGAGAACCCATGAGTGTTGTTTTTTTTTACTCTGGATGACATTTATTTTCTCCTAGTTGATTCATATTTCCCCTTTGATATCCTTTAACTTACCTACTGACATATTAAGCTACCAATATTAACACATCTTATATGAGATATGAAATAAAAAGAAGGTAAATACAAAGATACCTGGTAAGATAGCATATATATATTCATACATAGTCATACCCCAAAGAGGATGACATACTCATAACCATTACAGTATCTGTGTCACAATAGGTCATGTGGCTGTAGCCAATATTCATGGCTATCTTCTTCCCTTAGCTAACCCATGTTCCTCTTGTTCTCAGTAAACACTTGAGCAGGTTATGGCTCTTTGGCTAGTGAGGTAGACCAAATCTTTAGTCTCAAGGTGTCTCAATAGCTAGAAGTTATACTAATTGAGTTAACATAGTTTTCTATTTGTTTTGGTCACAGGATATAGGAGTAAAAAGTGGCAAACTGGAATATCTTTAGATTTTGAAACACTCTTCTGACTCTGCATGGAAGCAGGCTAGTGACAGTCACTCCTCTTTTTGCATGATGACTCAGTGGCATGACTCAATGTGCTCAGATGGTTCCCCAAGGCAATCAAGTCATCACGTGGACCACAGTGCAAGTGCTTCCCATTTTGGAACTAAGACCTCTTGGTCATGGGAACCTGCTATCACAGAAATGAGAAGCAAAAGTTGTGTCAAAGGATCACTAGGGATAAATGCTGAGAAGATCTGCTCCCCTTTCCACTGCTAGATTCTCTGACCAATGCATTCTTGCTAAGGGAATGACAGAAAATGTTGGGTATTAATTTAGAGCAGACTTCATATCCCAAAGGGCCATAAGTGATCCTGCAAAGGGGTGCTCCACCATTCTGTCAAGCCATCTGCTTCTGACTGATGAAGACCACACAAAGACTAGTAATCTTTCTGAATCCATTTCTGTATCTCACTTTTGCGTGACATAAGTTCCTTGCTCAGCAATGATTCTGAGTGAAATACGAAGGCCACGAATAAGCCGTGTGCACATGGGTTTGGTGGTGGATTGGGCAGAAACATTGTGATCAGGGAAGTCAGTGCATATACACAGAGAGTATCTATTCCAGTAAGAGCAAGCTCTGGCATTTCCATGACAGAAGGCTGTGATGTAATCAACCTGCCAATGAATCCCTACCTGGTAGCTAGAAACAATGTCACATGAGAAGCTCATTGTTCATCTCAGCTGTTAGCAGACTGAACACTCCAAATTGACTGTAGCTAAACAGGGTTTGGTAAATAGAAGTCTGTATTACTGAATACAGATGTAATTTTTGTCCTTACCACCAGTGCCACAGTTTTTATGAGTCAGTTTGGTAAGGAGATAAGTTCCTTTGGAAGGAAGCTAACTGAGGAATTTAGAATGGCTCATCCTTTCCACTTGAATACTACAGTCCTCCTCTGCTGAGTTCATCCTTTGGTAAGCATTCATGTAGACACAAGAGTCTTTACATGGTATATCCATTTAGAGGTGTCACCAATCTACCTTTCTACCAGATTTGCTTGTCATAGATTTATCAGTTATGTTGCATCCAAATATCAGACCCTGAATTAATGTAGATTTGTACTTCTGGGTAGCTCTTCTTTGAAGCAATAGAAACAGGCACATGTACACTTGAAATGATGCATATTGGAAATACTTTGCTTCACCATTAACATTTGAGACCACACTAGAATGGGAATGTCACAGGCATAGGGCCCATAGATATTTTAGGTCTCTCGCTCATGCAATTTACCTGTGCCTTTCAGACCTACTCAAGCCCAATTTCATATATAGCACATCTCTTTGATAATGAAGCATTACGGTTCATGCTCAAATTTATTGCTTAATGGGTCAGCTTAGGTAGCTTAGATCACATAGAAATTTGGTTAGCCATGGCCAGGCATTCAATCTTTACCAATGCCTAGTAGCAAGACAAAGGCTGGTTCAGAAGGAATCATTATTCACAGAGAATGTTCTAAATACTAAGTGATCTCCCTAAAAAAGCCAGAAGAAATCTTTAAATGGCATTCCTCTCACTGTCATTCTAAGTACTATGAGATTTTGTAGATAATATGATTGAAACAGCAGGACAGCTTGCACAGCAGTTTAGATATGAAGACCCTGGGCCCTACTCACAGCTGGTAGCTTTTTGCATCATCCAATAAATGGGTTGACAAAGAGCACCTCAGCATGCCTCAGACCAGATCCCTAGACATTCATGGAGTTTTTTTCCTACCCTTTAACACTATCTGGATCTGTTACTGTCTAATTAGCAGAGAAGAAATCACGAGGCTAAAAGAGGATCCATGGGAAGATAGAAGTGTTGCAAGCCGGCCACTGTCTTACATCAGTGAGGTGAACCAGCATGGGCCACAGTGTGGAGAAATAAAATATGGCTGCCACTTCCTCTCTATTCTCTTGTCTTCCACAGGAACTTCTCCGAAGCTTGCTCTATTCAAAATCCTATAGGTACAGGGATTCTGGGAAATGTAGTCCAGCCTAGCCAAGCTCACAACTCACCCTCCGTGTGTGGTATGATAAGAAATACAGTGAATATTTCATGTTTGTTTGTATTGCTTGATTGATAGATGGATGGATTATACTGGGGTTAACTCTTAAGTCATTTTGCATGTTAGGCAAGTACTCCACCATAGAGCTATACTGGTATGGTGAACATTCAAGTAAAAAAATTGAAAGTTTATTACAGAAAATTTGGGACACAACTGAGTTACATGATGTTACAGTATAGGTTTTCCTATGTCCTGAGTCTTCACTGACCTTGAAAGGCTAGGGTTAAAATGTTGACTGTCCTTGCAGCCATTCTATTTCTCTAACTTTTTATCTGCAAACTTAGGTTGTTAACCCTCCAGAAGAGAAGCTTATTATTACCCTACAACATGCTGTTGGGTTTAACTTCACTGTCTGTCTGAATATTAAACATGCATAACATGTAACAGATATTTTCCACCAAGTATTAATATGTTAAACTTTAAGTCCCTATAGACTATGGAGATAAAAATTTAAAACATGAAAAATATTTAAAGAATATGAATAAACAATTACATATTTTTACACAGAAATTTAGAAATCTAACCATATACAGCATTGTAGCAGGACAGTCTTGTGACTTTTTTTTCTTTCTTGTGTCTTTTTTTTCATTTATTACCCATTTAAAAAAAGACCAAAAAACTTTTGCTTGAGAGACAGTATGGTAATAATTGGTATGTCATGACAAGAAATACTTATTTAGAAGACCAGAATGACAGGCATTCCAAGCGTGACCCTTCTATTACACATTGCTATCTTCAGTGTAGTTGCCTGGTTCACAGATATCAGCATGTACAGTTAGTCAGGGTGAGAATCCTACCACTTAACTGCTAGTTTCAAAAACCTGCTGATGTTTCTCAAGGTCATTGCCTTGACCATCTTGTGCATATAAATGTATGGCTTTGTCCCTATCTTGTTTCCCAGCTTTTCTTGCTACCCTCTCCTCGGTGTCGAATCCTCAAGTTCTTGCTTTCCTTTCAATTGTGCTATACCCCTCTATTTGTATTTCTTCTTTTGGGTTCTTATACTAGGGAGACCATACAATATTTCCACAGGACGGTCTGGTTTATTTCACTTATGAGTATATCTTCAAGTGGCATCCACTTACATATAATTCAAGTTTATCATTCCTTATAGCTGAGTAATACTCCATTGTATAAAAATACCACATCTTTTTCAACCATTCTTCATGTGATGCACATCTTGGTTGTTTCCAAGATTTGGCTATTACAAATTGTGCTGCTGTAAACATAGGTACACATATATTACTATAATATGACGTTTTCAGTTCTTCCTGGCTTGATTGTTGGCTTGAATGGGATTTCCAATCCTAGTTTCTTAAGGAGTCTCCACACTGATTTCCATAATGGTTGCACCAGTCTACATTCCCACCAGCAGAGGAAAAGGGCTTCCTTTTCCCCACAGCCTCTCCAATATTTGATGTTGGTTGATTTCTTTATGATAGCCATTTTTTCTGGGGTGAGATGGTATCTCAGTGTTGTTTTAATTTGCATTTCACAGATGGCTAGTGATGTGGAACATTTTTTCATATATTTATGGGGCCACAGAGCAACATGATCGATGATGTAGAGTGTGCCTAAGGAGAGTCACATGGAGAGAAAACATTCTCTTAGGCTTTCACAGAGAGCAAATTGGTCAAGCAATGGCTGTGACTCATCCACATGGCTGACACTGAAAAAGGATCTGCAAACTGCAGTACAAGGTTACAAGATACATCCTGAGGGTACTTGACTGACCTTATCAGATACAAAAGTTACATTTCTTGTTATACAGGTCTTGCTTTATCTTGGTCTTAACCATCCAGCAGAAAAGTATAAAAACGAGGTATGTAAAGTAAAGCCATGTTAATATGCTGAGCTGTGAAAGACTCAAGTCAACAACTTCTGTGGATAACCCACTACTGTTGTGGACTGCTGGACTGTGTTGGATTTTTTGGCTGAATTCAAGCACGTATAGTATTTAGATGCCAATGGAATACCCATCTCTGACAGGACTAAACAGAAAAAGGGGATACA